TTATTTAATAGTTTAAGTAAATCCCTTAGTTTTTATTGGCCTATATATTTAAAAAATGAGTATTTTAGCTTTTCTTAACCCAATTATGTTTTTCTGCAAAGAAAAAAAACACCCAGTGATCACGAACATAAATTATGTAACAAACATACCATTTTAGACCAATATCATACTGATTAGAATTACAATTGCCCATTTGAAAAGGTGCATTTCCATAACTTCCCCCTCAATTTTACTTTTAAAAAGTCACAATATCATACAATATACCATTTTTAGGAACTTCCTTTTTTATTCAATACTGATGAACAGAATCCTTGATTTGAGTTAACGAGACATGAAAATGTGCCATAGTAATAATATTTGGTTGGACTTAACCTTTAACTGGTCCTTTTGTTGAAAGTGTAAATGTTGGAATTTTACTGACATAAGAAAACCTCAAATGGAATCTTGTAGGTAATGTATATCTATGTTCCAGATCAAAGAATATTTTAGTATCTATTTCCCCCAGGGTTAGAAAGCAATCCTTTATGTGAAAGGGGCCTCATTCCTTAACAGTTAGGTACTTTAAAAATTATATTTGGTTAATACATTTTCTTTGGTAAATTTTGTAATCAATAAAGATGTAAAGACTTTCCTCTGATATATAATTAACACTGAGCTGTTGACACTCAAACACAGGGAACCAGATCGATATCAATTCTGTAGTTGGGGATGGATTGCCCAATTAAGTTCATTTCTCTTTGAAAATAAAATAATTTCTTTATTAAACCCACTTCCAGATATGCAATTATAAAAAGACTTATTTATACTTTAAGCTACACCTAATTCTAATCTTTTTGGTAAAATCTATATTAAACATAATAGCATGATAGCAGACATCTGAATGTGCCTTAATTTGTAAACATTTTCTCAAAATTCAGAAGCAAAACATAGAGCTTACATTTCAGTACTATGCTGCCAGTTATTTCACATCATTCCTAGCTTTCTAATGTGACCAATGGCTAATACAAAAATATTAAAGAGATTGAAGTTACCAAAATTTTGTGGTTTTTATGGTCAGGTTTAGCAGGAATGTGCCTTCACAGGCAGGGGAAGTTTTGGTGATGATGATTCCTCTAATTCTCATGGCTTGGGATCACCACACAAATTTCTGGCACCATTAAAAATCTAATATAGTTTAAGTGCACATTGGTTGACTCTATGAATGGTATTCCCTATGTATGGTCAGTTCCAATATGATGTACTCATTAGGAATACAATGCAAGTAATACTAAAATTGATGTCTTACATTAATCAACATAACCACCTTGGCAATGGAAAATTGTACCAATCTAGTAACTTATTATGATTTTATTAGCACTGTTAACAATTTTACACTGCATTTCATCTTCTTATAATCTGGCAAATGTGTTAATATTTAGAGTTTAAGTCATCAATAATATCTAGCTGGTTTTCAAACAACATATTTCTAAAAAGCACTTTAAAAAAAATTAAAGTATTACAAATGTCTTAACCGACTTAGTGGTTTGAGACATGACAATAATCATTCAACTTGAAAGATAAAAAGTATCATGTTCAGACTGTTTAACATAGCCATAGTATAGAAAAGTTGCTCTAAAATTCTTACAGATTTTTCCAACCACTGGCATGACCTGTTAAACATTTTTAAACTGAAAAACAAATATGTAACTGAAATACTGATAGAGAAAAATAAAACAAAACTTATTTCGTAATCTAAGATCAGAAATGGAGAGATCCTCCTTGCCAGTGTTTGTATAAATAGTGTACTACACCCTAAAGACACATACTAATTTTTTTTTTACTTACAAACAAACATGCAGAGAATTAAACGAGACAACTGATTGTCAACAACTGAAGTACTCAAAAATGGACCCACACAA